TTTGACAGTAATTGTTTCGTACAGATGTCGGATGGAGAACGAGGGTACAGGGCTTGGTTGAGAAACAACTAGACCGACGGCGCGCGAACGGCCGCGTTAACAGCGAATCGGTTCAATGCAACAAATATACAGTACATAACAGTACCTTAATAAGTTTGGTGACTTCTTTAAACGGCTTTTTTTGTAGCGCCATCAACAAGAACTTCAGGCACATTAAGGCAACAAAAAAAGACTAGATATGAGCGCCGCCGCCGCCGTGTTTCCCCCCCGCGCCGCCGCCATCGACAAATGCAGTCAGTTTCATCAGGCGCTCCAATCGTACGCACGCGCATGCTTTCGTATTGTGAATGTGTAGTGAAACGCCAGAAATTGACATTTCTAAGATACGGATACAATACGGAAGCGTGCGCGTGCTGATAAAAATTTGATTACTATAGAAAATACGTTATTTTATTTTTCCTTTGAAAAAGTATTTGTATAACGGTTTTTGTAAAAACAAACACCGCTACACATTGACTTACAAATAAATGGACGACGGGTCTAATACAAAAACCACGAAAAAAAGTCCCAAGTCAACCTATTCGAAATTTAAATTGTAATGTCATCGCAGTATCGCGCTGTCAGTCGAACAAATGAAGACTAAAGCGGAGTTTGGCGCTCTGTATACGATTTTAGCGCCTTACAAGTGCGGACACTTTTTAGCGCGGACCCGACGTCCATATAATTGTAAGTCAATGCCGCTACACAAATCCGTTTCATGGTCGCGCTCGCGCCGCCGCCGCCGACACTTTTTCGTCGGCGCGCCGCCGCCGGTTGGTCTATTATCGGCGCTCATATCTACAACAGTCGCTTGTTCGAGTCTAGTTGGGTTTGTTTGATATTTGATTCAGTAAAAATAAGGAGTCATTTTATTAACGTCCATTGCAGATTATAGCATCCATTAATGTGAACAACTTCTTCAATGAGAACCCTTGTCAACTCGCAAAAAGAAAATCAGCTGTTTCGTTCATACTCAACTAAAAGATATGAAACAGCAAATTCTTATTTCTAAATTGACAAGGGTCTTCACGTTCTGTTGGTGGTTTATACATATAGACGCTATATAATATGATAAAGTAAAGAACGCTAATAACATTTCAATGTAATAATAGGAACTAATCCATACTAACATTATAAATGCGGAAGTAACAGTGTTACGTTTTCGTGCCTAAACGCAATTTTGATGAATTTATTGTATTAGAAATAGGAGGAACCTAGGAGAAGGCATAGACTACTTTTGTCATAAAAATAAATCTTAAAGGGGAGATGAAAGCTTGTATGGACAAACAATGACACTTATAAATTAGCATAGCACATTTAGTATTAGGTCATGGAAAAATATCCATTTGGAAAAAATCATATTTTTCAAATTAATAAATATTTTTCTGGATGTTTTCCCTTTAATTATCCACAATTGACGTTGACACCTGTCAATAGTTGACGTTATTGGACGAAAACGATGGAGCCATTAGAAAGGTTTTTTCGCTGTTGTTAAATCATTCTGAATCTGGTTTTTCTCTTAGTGGCTTTTAACTACGCAAGTTTATTTTATAATTCGCGTTAGAGATATTTCTAAACGTAGAACATAATATGAACCTTCGAAATTGTATTTTTCAAACGCAATTTTACGGGATTTTTCCGGAAACATTTGATTTTTATTCAGAAATTTCAGAAAACTCGAAGCACTTATCTACGCAGACGAAGTCGCGGGGTACCCATGTTTTATAAATCTGAAAATTATAAAGTTTTTTCAGTGACTTGTTACGATCTGGAACTGACCCTCATCACGGCGACCAACAATTGGTCTATTGTTATCACTCCAATTACAACTCGAAGCTGAGGCAAAGAGAATTGAAGAGCTTGTAGATTTTCTTATCTCTGATTGTGTTTGTCTCTTCTGGTTAGGACATATGTCGGCCTGGTGAATTTCGAATGACTGTAAGAGTGCAGAATCTACTACTGATTTCACTAACATTAGACATTGCTTATTATTTTTTGTGCCTAGTGGTAAGGGACACGCCTGCTCATAACAGATGAAGATCCACTCAGATCTTTAAATCGCAATGATCTGAGGAACACGGCCACTACACCCCTCACCTCACTGTAGTTTCACACTCACCTTTACCCTTCGAAACTGGAACGCAGTAATGCTCACATTATATTGTTCGGCAGAAATATAGAATAGAATAAATATTTATTGCATAACACAGATACAAAAAAAATGACAGAAAACGAATATAAACAGAGTGTTATTGGCACAAAAAAATGTATACGTGCAATTACTGGTAGGACTCCGCTTGAATCCTGTAAACCTATATTTAAAGATCTTGGTTTATTACCCCTGCCTGCCTTATATATTTATGAAGCCAGCATTTTTGTGAAAAATAATTTACATTTGTTTGTTAAGAGTATTGACGTGAAGCATCGAAATTATAGAAATCCCAATAGACTAATTTTGTTGACGTACCTAAGGTAGAAAAATATAATCAAAATTGTTTGTGTATGTGTGTCAGAATTTACAATAGATTACCAAATGACATTAAACACTTGCCCATTACATTATTTAAGACTAAATTATATGAAAGTATATTACAGTATTGGGGAATTTCTACAATAATTTTTATATAAAAGAATTTAAATTAATTATATATAACTTAATGTAAATGTAACCATGTGACGACCTATTTTTCATTTATTTTGCATGCCTAAATTATCTTCGAAACATGCTTGAACTTTACTGTGTTATCATGACCACCATGTTTTATGCAAATAAACTATTTGATTGATTGATTGATAACACGGTCAAGCAAAACGAAATAAAAATAATTAATAATAAACAAAATATAAAATACAATAAAACAAAAAAAAACAACATGAAATAAGACAAAACTGACAAAAAAACAATCTCTAATCCGCGGTAGTGGCGTACGCTTGTGCGTACTTCATTCGGTATAAGCCACAGCCATAATTGACTATGGCACTGGTTTTGAATGAGCCCTAAGCCAAGATGAGTGACAGTCGTGTGTGTCGCGAAATAAAGGAACTCGAAATAAACTACTTAAATACTTCCCTGCACGAGTGATATACTTCGTAAGGACGCTTTTATACTGCTTTTAAACGTGTACTAATTCAAACCACAAATAGCCATAGTTAACATATCCAAGAAATACCACCTCTCGTATCCATAATAAGTAACCTAGTAGCTAACCGCCACCCTATTTGATAACCCTAAAAATATTTACGTAATACAAGTTCGTAGGCATTAGGCTCTTGTTGCTATGCCAATTTCAATCTACGAATAATACTAAATTATCACAAAATAAAGATATTACTATTGACACTGTTATTCCACTGACATAAGAGAGAAAATTACCAATTGCTTTGATATTCATGTTTGCATAAAATCGAAAAGCTAAGGAGGCGTGCACACGAGCGATAAAATTGACGGATGCACCTTTTGCTTGGCTGTTATCTCTATTGATGTTTAAAAAAGGACTTTTGTTAGCATGTTCACGTAAATATCGGGGTTGGTGGTAGTAATTTTAAATTATCTTTGGCTTTTAAATACGGGCAATTCAAAATTAAATTTAACTTGTAGTATATGTTTTAAGATCTTTGTGCTGTATGCATTGATGGTTATTCGTTGTTCAATATATCATAATCCCATTTGTATTTACCACAATGAACCAAGAACACGTTCCGTACAAGAAGATTTAAAATACAAGTTCTATGTACATCACATGAGATTAACAGTATTTCTTGCAATCAAAAACAGATCTAAATTAATCTCAGACGATCACATAAACCCTGAGTCGGCAGTGTAAACGATGCCTTAAGCCGAGCTTAGAGATGAACTTGATTACGTAATAAACAAGATCTGAAGATAAGCCATTAGGCGTCGAAATGTTTGTTTTCCGCGTCAAACGACTCTTGCTCCGACACCTCATTATGAATTATTATTAGTGCCTTATAGAGGCTTCCAGAAATGTGTTATGGGCTTGTTTTTTTTCCTCTTTTCCGCCATAAATTTCAAGAAAGATTCTTCGAAGTAGTAGTATAACTAAGTTTGTTCTTAATAGTCAATTTGTATGATTGGAATATTGCTTCAAAATTTTTATCAGGCGCTACATACAGTTACGCACAAAGTAAAAGATTGTTATAGTAATTATTTGTAATTTAATGCGACGTTAACCAGTTAACCACAAGAATAAAGACGTTTTGGTGTATTTTGTTCATTTAAGTTAAATTGAGCATCAAAATATCGCATCCATACTTATATACATCTTATCAACAGCACGTCAGTGAATAAAAATAGAAACTTAAAAAAGTGTCCTTAAGAAAAATCAAGTGACTAAGTAGTGAACTAAAACAAAATCTAATCGTGTGTGTTCATAAGGACGAAAAAGCTATGAAATATGCCTAAACAATGTTCAAATCGGACAGGACGCTGACCTGGTTTTCGTATGATAGTTGAACTCGAAGTGTTGCGCGTGTGAGGTGAGATGAGGCGGGGGGGGAGGCCCCCGCGCCTCTTATCAGGCCTGTTATCGGGAGATAAGGCAAACTGGCTCGGAGACGTGCAGGCAATCGCAGTTGGATCATCAGGGTGACGAGGCTGGTCGGACACCGGCCGCCGCCCGCCATCGCTATGCTGCATTCGCTGAACGCTCTTGCCGGCAAAATATCGCCGGGCGGCGGCCTTGACTCAAACGCCAACAGACACTCACACCCTAACCGGAATCATAAGCCGACGTCGCCATCTTCTCCATACTCCAAGCCCAAGTAAGTGGTTAATCTATTTTTCCATGTTAACATCTTAAATGCCGTTGGGAAGAATTCATTTTTCTAGATTTTTCATCATTTCCCACATTGGACAGTGAAGAGGTTATTTTAATTAATAATTGTGGTGAAACAATTTTTGTTACACTTAACCCATGTATGTTACATTAGTTATAATTATATATATTCCGATTTGGTAAAATGAGTAAAAACTAGTCATGAAGTTTGTTATCACTGCAGAAATAATAAGAACGGAGCGTAATCCCTATTTAAGAACAAAAGTAAATACCTATGTAAATTATTTTATTGTGCAATTGTTTCAAATCTACGCCTTTTGATAATCTCAACATGGGAATTTTCCTATAGCTTTATTCATATAGCATATACTTTTACAAATGTAGAGTCCAGGGAAAGAAAGATCAAAGTCATTTGAGGAAAACTTTAGGAAAAAAGATTTTTTAATTTCGAAAACTGTTCAATGTTAGCCAAAAAAGCTACTTGAAATAATGTGAATGTTCACATAATGTGTGTAGCCCTATGTAACTTTTCTACTATTTAGTCTCAAGCATTTTATGCTTAAAAAAGTTATTTTTTCAGAATGTTGAACCTTATTAGCTTTTCCCTGATTTAGTCAAAATTCGCTTAGCGTTTAAACAAAGGAGATGGCGGTTAGGTGACTTTGATCGTTCTTTCCCTGGACTCTTCAAATATTAACCACGTAGCTGTGAAAGTTTTAGAATATAACGCAAATCATCTTCAATAAAAACGGCAAAGTTAAATATGACCCAGTTTGTAATCTTAAGTACTCGGAAAATTGTCCTTTAACTAAGTTTAGTAAGCCTATTTTGTGACTGTATAAATGAAATGGAAATTTTAGAATTTCAATTTCTTCTTACATAAAAATAAAAATGCTGATCATTCAGGGATTTTTATGACAAACATTAGTCTAGTAGACTAAACACCAATGGGCGCTACGGCAAAAAATTCGTTAAAAAACAAAGATCTGCAATAAGCACAATAGAAGAATTCGTAATATCTGCTGGTACGTTCCCTAGCTCAGCTGGTAGAGCGTTAGGCACGGTATGCTGAAGGCACTGGTTTGAATCCAGTCGGACCGAAGGAATTTTTCTTTGTGTTCGATTTTTTTATAACAAACTAGTGGAGAAATTTCACAAAAATATAATTTTATATAATTGCAGTAAAATATCGGGTTATTCAATTAATACGTCTGAAAATTTGTTTGGTCAAGACGGGACAAACAAGTGCGCCTGATGGTAAGCTACACGCCTGTCCATAACAGTTGTAGTGCCACTCAGAGCTTTAAATCACAAAGATCTAACGGACACTGCCACTGCGTCCGTCACCCTGAGACATACCTTGACAAGTCCCGTGTGCCTGTAATTTCACCAGCACCATTACCCTTCAAAACCGGAACACAGTAATGCTGACATTACTGCTCGGTGGTAAGATAAATAGGTAAGGTGGTGATACTTCCCTGGACGAACTCTTTCACAAGGAACTCTACTGCTACTTAAGTGCTCAAGTGCAGTCGTAGCCTAGTTGAAGAACTAATTGCTTCTCAATCGAGATGTAAACGGTTCAAATTTCTATGGTAAACTTGTACCTAGGCTTCAATTCTTTTGTTATAAATATTAAGTGGCAAAACAGTGAAGGTGACTTCCCTAACCCACATTTTGCCAGTGTGTCAGACTGCGGCCCATAAACTCTCTCTCTAAAGAAGAGCCATGTCCGGTAGTGGGACGTATAAGGAATTGATGAAATGTTCTTTAACTAAGGTAAGGGACAAGTAAATCATCAGGGATTTTATTATTGTTGGAAGTAATAATAATGATTTCTTCCAACGCTGTTAATAATTGTGACCACTGAAAAAGCACATTAGTTTACTGGACTATCACTTTAAGTTCTTACGCTTTCCTGTGACTTTAGTCACGAAATAAACTTAAATGGGCTGTAATATTTTCAACGTCCTTCTAAGATTCATTATCAAGAAATGACGAGTAACCGATAGATAAAGTGACACGCCGCATTTATAGGTGACGTAGTCCAGGAATATAATTTTAGTAAAAATCGATAATCGGAGTAATTTAAAAAAATAGAGGCATATCTTGTTTTTATTTTCAATCCGAAGACAGTAAGTAATGAGCAATTCTCATCTTGGTTATTCGCATAAAAAAGTTGTAAACGTGAAACATTACAAATCATGAAAACATTACAAAAAAGATGTCAAATACCACGGCGAGACATTTACGTATGCATTTATATTCTCTTGCTGATAATTCCGGTTTTTTCTATTTTTAAACTACATAGCACACTGAATATACTTAGTACAAAAGAAAATGAATCGTTTTAAACCATTCACCACTTAAAAATAAATTAAATATAACTAGAGGCTTCAAACGATGCGAACTGAAAACTCCTATGCAAAAACTTTCTCCTATAGACTCCAGGGCCTAAGCTTTCCACCGCATATGGCATAAAGCTGCATCATTGGTTAGGTTGGCTTACGTGAACCAGAGGTGGTTAGATAGTCTGAAATGTAATTGTTCGGATTGGCCAGCCTTTGCTGCTTTTGATACGAACTTTTAACGTTAAATAAAAAAAGATCTTTTCGTTTTAAAATGTTGTATTGTCTACAGTTATTTTAAATTTAATATTTTAGCGCACATTTTAAAAAGAAACAGGAGAGTTTGTGTTTTGTAAAGAAAGCCTAGAACTGATGAAGCGTAAAGGCCGTATCATAGCATGACAATGCCGTACCAAATACATATTTGCAAAACAGTCAAAAATTATTGCAGTTAATTGGAATAGAACGCTCTGCATATGCGCTACACGCGCGCTGCACGCGCGCTGCATGCGTGCTGCAAGCGTACAATTAAATACAAGTTAATATGGGGCGCCCGAGCGGCGCGCGAACGGCACGCGTATTCGCCAGACCAGATCCGTACGCACCCTTACCTCATCCACAGTATTCGCCCGAAAAATCTCCTTCAGATCTTCACTTATTTCTGTCTTCACGGAATTCGTTGAATGCACACGACTTTGATAACGAACAGACCATCAAACTACACTTAAAACTATATTTTACAAGACTGGAATTTTTATGACAGGGAATTCTAAAGTTACCCGAAAGATGGCAAAAGATTATGCTGCCGTGCTTACAATAAGAACAGTAAGTCTAGTATTTCAAACATACTTACTGTTAATATTGTAAGCACGGCAGATAGACCGACTTATTGTCGATAAACATTGTTGATTGAATAGTATTGGCCATACATAATAAAGTTTGCTTTTCATTTATACTTTGATACCGCATGGACTTTTTGGTTAATCCAATTTCCATTGTTGGTGCATTTATTCATATCTGATTAAATTTACTTATTTGTTTGAGTTAACAAAATAACCACGGACAATGTTTCAGTTTGTGAGACACTATTATTGTATGATCCTCCTGAGAATACAAAGTTTCACAGAAACCACAAAGTTTTAGTGCGAGAATAAGTAGTTGCCTAAACTTACTTCTTGGGTACCACCAAATAAATTGGTGTAGTGGTTTTATTTATGGATGCTTAATGTTTCTCTTTCTTTTACTTTTCCTACACTATTAGTTTTACGAGTCTTCAATGAATCTTAGTCTCTAAGGCTTTCACAATAAATATTTCCAACTACTGAATTTATTGGTGTCGATATTTTGCGTTCATAATTGTTTTTCAACCAATTTAGAAATGATAACTCCAAACAACTACACCAATTAATTACCTCTCAAACTTGTTAAGTCCCTATAGGTATCAGAGCAACGAAATTAATTCTTCCAGTACAGACAGGCAGACAATGTAACAGTTAACGATTGGTCTACCGGGAATCGCACCCGGAACCTCCTTATCTAGCGCACATATTACTTACCTCTAGGCCACCGATGTCGTACAAACGGCGAATTCACAAATTATAACAATTTTCTTTATATTTCCGTTGTTTCATAAACTGTGATTTAGTACAGATTTACTAACTTCAAATGAGCCCCACTGCCATGTACTGTCTTCTATTTCTGATATACTACAGCCTGACAGTGTTTCAACTTGTCGTCTACCTACTTTGCTTATACGCGTCCAAATTACAATACAAATATTCGTTCTTGCACAGAAGAACAAAATACAAAGGTAAATAAATGACAGGGTATAATAAACAGCTTTATTGCTGTATAGTAAAGATTACCATTGAGAATTGTTTATGAATCATTGTATCTGACTCATCATCGTCATCTTATTTAAGAACCAGGTTCTTGTCAGTGTAGCTGCATCCACCCCTTACGGTCCATAGCCGTCAGTTCCTTGACCTCATTATGCTTGCTTTGGCGTTCTGTAACAAACCTACTTTATGTAATAGACGGCCTTAAGCCAGATTGTTCACTTTTAGTTCTCTAAGAATCCGCTAGATGGCATTGACCAATTTGGCGTTGTTTCTGAATCGCGGTGTTAAGATTTTCCCTTGAATGGTGAGTACTCGAACACAATTTTGTTAATGTGACCTAGGGGCTATGAGCGTTTAGCTCGCCCTTTTCTCCGGTGGCGCAGTAAAGGCCATCAGCGGCCAACTGTAAAATATTCTTCATAAAAAAAAGTTAATGTGAAGAGAAATATGAAAATACAGAGAGCTCAATAAGGCAACCAAGAGTTGAGTCCCTTCTTGGGAACTGCTACCCGTATCTTCAGATATTTCGTACGCTCATATAGGGTGAAAAACCTCATTTTGCGGAACGGTTACCAGGAGTAGAGTCCCTTCCGGGAACTGTGGGAACAACTGCCCGGACCTTCCGCATATAAGTTGAAATTGTATTGGCGACATACAAGGTGAAAATAAAAATCTTCTGAACCAGTTGGAGTTTCACTTGGCTTGTTTTGGTAACCTCATCCAACGGAAGAGAGAACCACCTTCCTGTAAAGGAATATGTAATATGTAATAATGTGCACTTTTCTTGATTTTCCTTT